TGATGCCAATGCTAAGAACGAGCCTAATTGTAGTGTATTGCACCTAATCGGTCATTTGATTTTATACTTGAATGCAGTGTAGAGTGCGTTTATCGAATTTCTCGTGTTACCACGGTGAATCAATGTGGATTAGTTTATTCTAATTTTGTATAGAGAAAACCGAAGCCAAGACTGTTTCCAATGTTAAAGCCTATCAGCAAGCTTAATTATTTTTTCATTATATTTTATAAAAGTGCACTGACAATCACTGAATAAATTTTTAATTTTTTAGAGATATAAAATTGATTTATATGAGCATATGTAGTTGCGTAAGGCTAACGCAGATATTAACATAACCACGTGGTCAGGTTATCCAAATCATAAAATCGCAAATGGGTAACAAAATAAGCATGTTTAATTTTTAAGAACTAATAATTCTGTAATAATTAGACCAAGAGAATAAGGCGATTTTAGCCATTATAATATAAATAAGGCAAACACATAACATCCATTGCTGCATAGCAATAAATATACAGGTTTAGATTGTATTGTGTACATTTAAAACGATTCAGATTTATTGTGATCACTCGAAGAATCTAAAATAAATCAGTATTGAGTAAGGCCTTTATTAAATGTAGATCGCATAAGGTGTTAAGGAACTAAAATTTGAATTTTTCCACAAAACCTGAGTAGGCCTTACGTTACCATTAAATTTCACATTTCTTTTCTTTCCATAAAGTATTATCATTTCAGTCTAAATGCAGTGCACTTTCGACATTGCCTAGTTCTCATCAGCGCTCACACCAAGAGTAAAATCCGGATAGGGCAGCAGATAATTTTGACATTTTACCACTCATACTACATTACTACAAGTGTCCCTGGGCCCCTGGAGTGAATTTTAAGAAAGACCAGATCTTTCCTTATGAGGTATTTCTTTTACCGGGATATAAGATGAAGCAAACTCTTATTTGCTATTACAATCCACTACATTACATATATTCGTGTTGAATAGGTTTCGAAACTACCGCGAGATGCTAAATACAAGTTTGATTTATTGAACATTCCACAGCAGCATAATTGTAATATGAAAAAAAGACTTCTTTCCTTAACATTCACGCATACTTTGTGTTTCATTGGCACTCGTAGCAGTATGCGATTGTGGTAACATGTCAAGTCTAAACCCAGCTCTTTCCGAGTTAGAATCGCGCCTATGGGTGCTGATAAGACCTACATAATTTCAAAACTGCACTTTAGTCCAGCCGAAATAAATACAAATTTTGAGAAGTAAGGCTATATAAAATTTAACGAAAACATGAGGTTACTCATATCACCGTATAAAAAATTAACTATTAATCCGTTATCATTTAATCCGACCTTGGGTGAATGAAGCTTTTATATTAAATAAAATCAAAACAATGTTATGTATTCAATTTGCGTTAATGTTACTTTGACTAGGAATAAATAATACATTGGTATTTTCCTCTTCTGTAATTAATCTATTTTGCCAGGAATGAAGAATTTTTATCTCGTACTTTTCTTACTATTAAATATTTACACTGAAATCAGGTCTTCTACTGTGCACAGATAGCGATGCTGGGGAAAATTCTCGCCTCTCCTTCCGTTTAATGACTTTATCTGCTCCATTTCATCTCGATACCAACACAGGAGAGCTTAGAACTAATCAGATACTGGACAGGGAGCGTGAAGCAGTCCATCGTCTTGTCGCATTGGTCATGGATCATGGACGGCCGGCACGTTCAGCCAGTGTCAGTGTGTTAGTCACTGTGATGGACATCAATGATCACGATCCAGTGATTGTGTTTCCAGCAAAAGGAAATGGGACTGTGACGATCTCTGTCAGAGAGGCAATAGGCGAAGTAAGACTTGATAAAAAAACTTGCGATAATTTTAAATTTATCTTAGTAAACAATTAACCTTATTTGTTTTAATAAAAGGGATTAATTTTAAAACAATTTATAATTTCTAGCTCTGCTTATCAAAAAATTGATGAAACAATCACAGTTAGGCTTTCGGTTACGTGTTAAATTGCCTTTGCTATTATCTATGTTTGACCCGTTTTCGTTTTTAATTATTTCTCAAAATAGAAGAGAAATAAAATGGTTCCAAATAAATTAAATTTCTTAAGTAGATCATGAAGTTCTCAGCGCCCAAAAACAGCAACATATATTTTCTTGTTTATATTAAATATCTTAGAGTAAAATATTGATATAACCACACTAACATTCCGATAATTTTTATTTGGCCTTGGAAGTCACATCCATATAAAATTTTATATCTTTAAAAAAATAATTGATCAAATATTGTAGACTTTAATGAAATAATATTTGCTCCATCGAAAGCTTGTAAGATAAGAGTATAATTATTGGCCATGCATGATTTACTATGAATTTTAATAAAGCAGAATATGCATGGATGTAAATAAAATTTCTAACAGTAAGGATTGAGTTAATTAAATTCATGCATATTCTATAAATATTAGGCTAATTTTGAAAAATTTACCTTCGTTTAGATATCAATGTGGTGCATGAATTTAGCCTAATTCTATGAAGAAATTATAATTCGTTTTAAGTTTTCTCTTATTTCTTTTTCCCAAAACCCTTGAAGAATCAAATACTGCAATTTCATAAGTAACAAGTCTTTGTACAAAGGTTAAAAAGCAGTTATCCTTAAGCTCGAAATGTTACAATTTTAGTAAAATCCATAATTAATATTTATTTAGCAAAATAAACTGACTAGAAAACTTATTTTCGATTTTTATTATTTTGCATTCATAGGCAATACAATATCTGGTTTCATATGCGTGAACTCAAGTCATTACGCGTCAGAGCCTTCATTCATTTGGTCACCATTCCGCATTATATATTTATTAGTATATTAAACCAAAACAAGCATTTTTAATTGGTAAAATTGCAAAGTAATATAAATATGAAGGGGCTTTGATGAAGGCTCTTTCGTTTGACCATAAACTGGATTGCGAAGAAACTCCATATTGTTTTATTAATTTTAGAAACTTATTATTAATAGAAATATTTATAACGGGCTTCATAATATAGTTAATCTTTCATTCGGATAGCATTCCATAATTTGGCTGCATATTTACCTGAAAGTGAACAACGTTATTTTGATTGTGAAAAAGTTTGTTCTTTAAAGTCAATATTTCAGATATTACGAAACGAAAGCTAGTTTACATGTGTTACCATAGTACAGAATTCATTTTCCTTACATGTCTGCAAAATCATTACAACTCAACATTGGTTAAAGTCGCATTGTTAAATATAACCAAACTAAAGGCACTATAAAGTAATATTTCTGTTTCAGATGATTAATATCATGTAGAATATTGTATACGATATGCTGTTTCATTTGTATGTCATTTATTACCAAATTTTAAAGATTTTTGTGAAAAGAATTAAAGGAAAAGAAATAGAAGAAATCATACTATTACAATATTTTGATAAGATCACTAAATCTATATTCAAATATTTTGTGATATACTGCAACATTCGAAAAGTATTTGAGAGTATTTTGGAAAATATTTTTATCTGTAATCTATAAGACCGATTTTAAGCCAATTAATTTAATACACAATTAGCCTTATGAAACAAAACAACCACAAATAT